TTAAACCAGGAAGGAAGAGGTTTGCAGTGAGCCGAGATCGTACCACGGCACTCCAGACTGGGTGACAGAGCAAGACTCTGACTGAAAAAATACAAAATAAATAAACAGATAGAAAAAATAATCTAGAAATTAAACGGTGGATTCTGGTGTTTTACCTCCTGCTTCAGTCTGCCCTGGCGGTCAGGCTCCGGATCTCAGCGGTGGAACGACGCCCAGTTTTTTTTTTTTTGTTCATTTTATTTTTGAGACGGAGTTTCGCTCTCGTTACCCAGGCTGGAGTGCAATGGCGCGATCTCGGCTCACTGCAACCTCCGCCTTCTGGGTTCAGGCAATTCTCCTGCCTCAGCCTCCTGAGTAGCTGGGACTACAGGCACGCACCACCATGCCCAGCTACGATGCCCGGTTTTATGTAAGATCAGGAGATGGGACTAAACAGATCGTCTTGTCCACATGCACTGGGTCCAAGAGGAAAGCACCGCTCCCAGAAGCCGTCTTTCCTGCCCAACGTCTCGCCCGTCTCCTCTCCCGGTGCTGCCTTCCAGCAGCAACGCACAGCTGACGTTCTCTGGATCAGGAGCAGCATTTTCTGGGCAAGGGAAACCATTGGTATTTTAGGCTGGCTGTCAAAAGCTGGAGTTAACACATTTTCTTTCTTTTTTTTTGAGAGGGAGATTCGCTCTTGTTACCCAGGCTGGAGTGCAATGGCGTGATCTCAGCTCACCACAACCTCCGCCTCCCAGGTTCAAGTGATTCTCCTGCCTCAGCCTTCCGAGTAGCTGGGATTATAGGCATGAGCCACCACGCCCGGCTAATTTTGTATTTTTAGTAGAGACAGGATTTCTCCATGTTGGTCAGGCTGGTCTCAAACTCCCAACCTCAGGTGATCTGCCCGCCTCGGCCTCCCAAAGTGCTCGGATTACAGGCGTGAGCCATGCACCCAGCTGAGTCATACGTTTTCTACAAAGCAACGACATTCTCTGTCCTCCAAGAAGAACCCTGGCAATGTCTATCGAAGTTAATAAGGTATGTCTTCTTTGGCTGATTCCAATTCACAGATACGCATGCGTGAAGTGTGCAAAGATGTATCACAACCACGTTCACCATTAGAGTTATTTACAACAGCAAAAGGTAAAGGACGGGGCGAAATACCCATGTATCGGGCAGTGGGCAAGTAAATTATGCTGTAGACATTCAATAGAATACAATTCTGTTATCACAACTAAAGCAGGTCAGCCTATGCCGACAGGAAAAGGTTGACAAGATGTTAGCTTCTTTTTAAATCAAAGTTTCTTTTGTTAATAGGACAGAGAATACCCATCATATACACGTATCCATACAGGATACTTCAGAAGGATGTATATGAGAAATTTAAGGCTGGGCACCGTGGCTCACGCCTGTAATCCCAGCACTTAGAGGCCAAGGCAGGAAGTTCACCCGTGGTCAGGAGTTCAAGATCAGCCTGGCCAACATGGTGAAACTGTACAAAATTACCTGTCTGTACAAAAATTACAAAAGTCGGTGGCGGGCACCTGTAATCCCAGCAAATCAGGAGGCTGAGGCAGGAGAACCCTTGGACCAGGAGGCCGAGGTTGCAGGGAGCTGCGATTCCGCCACTGCACTCCAACCTGGGCAGCAGAGACCCTGTCTCAATAAACACATAAATGAAACTTAAGAGTGATTATAGCTGAGGGGTTATACCTCTGTCACATTCTTCAGTGCCACATGAATTTTTTAAGTATGTGCGTGGAGTTCTGCTTTTATAATGAAACAACAGGTCCCACAGCCTCTGACGCTGTTCAGTTTCAGCCCAACCCTGTCAGGCCAAGGCTTTTTAACTGAATCAGCAATCCAGCTTCTGGATGTGAGCTCATCGGTTTGCTATCTGAAAATCCATATTCTTAGTGAAACAAATGGTTTGCGCATGGGTTAGGGCAGGGCCAACATTCAAATACTGCAAACCCTCAGCTGGTGCCAGCCTCGGGCTGGAGTCGGAACACGTGAGTGGAAACATCTCCCAGGAAAGAAGACAGATGCCAGCTTTGTCAGTAAGTTCTCTGGGTTCTCCAGGGAGTTCTTTCCAGCCCCTTGAGGTTATGCTCAGAATAGGGCTTGCCCAGCTCCCAAAATAAGCTCTCCCACTGTGGAAGGAAAAGCTCAGCATTGCACAAAATCTTGACACTGACTTTTTACTTCCTCCCCTCCTCCACAGTCCATGTAGCGAAATGATACGAAGGGTTTCTTCTCAAAGCCTGGGAGAACAGTAGTTTGGCCCCCTGAAGAATCCCAAACTTGCAGTTAATAAGGGAAAAATAGATTAACATGGGGAGATCGAAAAGTCAGAGGCCAGGTGTGGTGGCTCACGCCTGTCATCCCAGCACTTTGGGAGGCTGAGGCAGGTGGATCGTCTGAGGTCAGGAGTTTGAGTCCGGCCTGGCCAACATGGTGAGACCCCATCTCTACTAAAAATACAAAAATTAGCCGGGCGTGGTGGTGGGCACCTGTAATCCCAACTCCTTGGGAGGCTGAGGCTACTGGGAGACTCTGTCCCAGAAAAAAAAAGTCTAAACAATTTGAACCAAATTCCTTCTCATAGAGGACAGTACAAAAGAAAAAAAAAATGCTAAACAAATGTCTTGACAGGCAATGACTTGCCAAGGGCGTGCAGAAGCTTGTTGAAACGTAAGTGGGGTCGTGCATGGTTCTGTCTTGCTCTCATTAATGACCTGCAGGGTCACAGGAATATAACCTGTTCTGGGGACACCGTGGGGACATGTGCTGCCCTCCAGCAGAGACTGTGTAGCTTCCAATGCTTCATCTCCTGGCTGGACACCTGCAACTGCTCCGGACCCACCTCCGTCCATCCCTGAGGCCACCTCCCTGGGAACTACCCCTGGAATTCACCTCTCCTCCGGCCTCGGCACGTGTGACTCCCTCTATCCGATCCGCCCTTCCCAGCAATGTTCACCTGACTCTGACAAGAATCACCAGGAAATCTCCCTGACCTCATCTCCCTGGAACTGTCATCCAGCCTGCAGGGGGAAGAAGCTCCTCCTGGGCTTTCCCCAGGCACAAAAACCACCTTTGCTGCATCGTGGCCACACCAGTGATGGTGCAGACCTGGGCCGCGTTCGCCATCCATGCTGGGTCTGCAGGAGGAGAAAATGAGCAGAGAAAGGCAAAAGTTCAGGGTGCACAGAAAGGAAAGCTCAGAAATCACTGCGGCCAGGGAATGGCGCGGAAAACACGGAGGCTGAGTTGCTGGAGCTTCCCAGCACCCGGGGGAAAGGTCTCCCAGGCCTCCTGTCACTGCAGATGCAAGGCTGGGGCTGGGGCGGATTCTCCCCAAGTCTCCTGCTTTTCTTAAGTCCAACCCTCCACACTGATGAACATCAAGATGAGGGTGAACCCCATTGAACAGACAGTTCCTTTCTCATCTCAAATCCTGTCTCCCGTTTGTTAACTTCCCAGTACAGATCTGTTTCTCTGTAAAGGGCAGGGAGCCCCACACACGCTGGGTCACATCGAAGGCCAGAACGCCTGAAGAGGCTGCTCCAGCAGCTCCTGACACCACTGAGAGCCACCAGCTTCTGCCTCACCAGGCGCCAGCTCACGCTCTGATCAGGGAGCTCCGTAAGCGGCTTTAGGTTCCAGGGGGCTGCCTGATGTGTCGGCGCCCATTGACAGGGACAGGAACCTACGCAGATGACGATGGAAGCTCTCTCACGTTCCTGAGCTGCAAAGAGGACCATTTCCTCCAGGCATTTTGGCAAAAGCTCCCGTGTCCCTGTTCACATCCACATACTCTGAGTATTATTTCTGCAGCATTTAGACTTAATACTTCAGAAAGATACTGTAAGAATCACTGGCACGTGTAGGTTTCAGTGAAAACACTCGGGGAGCCCTCCCCGCGAGGGAAAGACGCCTGGTGACAGAGCCCAGTTCCGTAAGTCACCCAGAGCAGCGAGTGAAAAGGGAAGGGGGTGTGGTCCGTCGGGAACATCTCCACACCGCTCTGCTCTTTCACTCCCTCTACTTGTCCGTATTCACGGACAGGCCCTGCCAGTCCTCCCTCCGGCCTCTGGGAGTGGAGTGTTACTGACATGGAGCAGGTACAAGCCAGGACGCTGGTGACGATCTACCACGCGCAGCACAGCTCCTCCCATGGCAAAGAATCACCTGGCTCGGAACGTCAGCAGTGCCTCAAAACCGCAGAGCAGGCCACCCCTGGGACTACCCCGGCTTCCGTCTGGCCCCCGATCACTCTCAGACCCCAACTCTCCCGCACAGGAAGACAGGCGGTGGATTACAGGAGAAAGGGAGAGTTACCCAGCAAAGCTCTGGCTCTGTGTGTGTCACTATCAGGGAAAGCACCTTGGACTTGCTGCGTGACTCGGGAGGTTCCCGAGCAGGCCTGAACAGTCTCACTGTTACCACGCCATCGGAAAGAGGAGGCCTAACGAAGCATCACGGGACGTGAGGGCCATGTGGAATGAAAAATCCTGGCTGAGCTCAGTGGCTCACGCCTATAATCCCAGAACTTTGGGAGGCCAAGGAGGGAGGACTGCCTGAGTCCAGGAGTTTGAGACCAGCCTGGATAATACAGTGAGACCTGGTCTCTACCAGGAAATGCGAATAATTAGCCAGGCGTGCTGACGCATGCCTGTAGTCCCAGCTACCTGAGAGGCCGGGGTGGGGATGTGGCTTGAGCTTGGACGGCAGGTGCAGATGGTGCTGCTGAACCGAGTCAAGCCTGCGCAACAGAGAGAGACTGTGTCTGGGAAACAAATCTCATCCCCGCCATCCCCACCCCACCCGCCTTCCTTCCTGAGCAAATGGTTTGGAATCTCTCACACTTCTGGAGCCATTTGCTTTTATTTTAAGCACGGTGGTCTGCACAGCTCTAAGCTGAAGCCACATTTGCAGCCACCAGGAACTAAAAGGGCACACACAGGACCTCCCAGGCATCCCACAGCTCCGGGTTAGACGCCCATCTACGTGACCGCCTCAGTGCTGAGGTCAATCCATTACCAATATCACTCAGAGTGCAGTTAGCAAATGCTCTATTTTCTAATGATCAGTCACAGCATACGCATCTGCTTTTTTTTTTTTTTTTTTTTTTTTTTCAATGGAGTCTCACTCTGTTGCCCAGGCTGAAGTGCAGTGGTGTGATCTCAGTTCGCTGCAACCTCCACCTCCCAGGTTCAAGTGATTATCCCGCCTCAGCCTCCCGAGTAGCTGGGATTACAGGCACCTGCAACCACGCCTGGCTAATTTTTGTATTTTTAGTAGAAACAGGGTTTCACCAGGTTGACCAGGCTGGTCTCAAACCCCTGACCTCAGGTGATCCACCTGCCTTGGCCTCCCAAAGTGCTGGGATTACAGGCGTGAGCCACTGCGCCCGGCTGCATTTGTTCCCGGTAAGTTTCCCTGAATGAACGCTGATGTGACGCTAATTGGAAGTGACATCTTTTATCCAGCCCGGATCCAGCTGCGCTCTGTTACTGATGAACACTTACTAGCTGCTCCCAAGCTTGTAAAATGCTTTTGTGAACATATCACACGCAGCATCTGCGGCGCTATCTGCTTTATTTCCTGGGAAACTTGGTGGTGAGGGATTGGGGGAGGAATTATCAAAATTTGGACAAGCCCACAGAAGTGTGTCATGCATGGAATTTCATACACCATATGTGCTGTGGCAAAAATAAAAATAAAAAAGTCAAGGGCTGTGGTCCTACAACAGGATGAGGAAGAAGTCTGAAGACACAAACGCAAGAAGCAGGGACCGTGGGGAGTCCTCGCCAAGGCCGGCCTTTCCCCAAGCTGTCAAGTGCTCAGCAGCCCGGATGCTCCACAGTTCATTCAAAGTCAAGGAGAGAAAGAGAGACAGAGACAGAGACAGAGACAGAGACAGAGAGACAGAGAGGCAGAGACAGAGAGACAGAGACCGAGAGACAGAGATAGAGAGACAAAGACAGAGACAGAGAGACAGACCGAGAGAGACAGAGACAGAGACTGACAGACAGAAAGACAGAGGCAGAGGGAGACAGAGCTGAGAGATAGAGACAGAGACAGAGAGACAGAGACAGAGAGACAGAGAGATAGTGTGGGTACGATGCTTAATCTTATGTGTCAACATGACTGAGCTAGAAGTTAGCCCTGATATTTGACTAAACATGGTTCTGAGTGTGTCTGTGACTGAGTTTCTGGGAGAGATCAACATTTTTTCTTTTTGAGATGGAGTTTCGCTCTGTCGCCCAGGCTGGAGTGCAGTGGCGCCATCTCGGCTCACTGCAACCTCCACCTCCTGGGCTGAAGCGAGTCTCCTGCCTCAGCCTCCTGAGTAGCTGGGATTACAGGCATCCACCACCACGCCTGGCTAATTTTTGTATTTTTAGTAGAGACAGGGTTTCGCCATGTTGGCCAGGCTGGTTTTGAACCCCTGACCTCAGGTCATCCGCCCACCTCTCCCTTCCAGTGTTGGGATTACAGGCGTTGAGTCACCACAACCAGCCGAGATCAGCCTTTGAATCAGCAGACTTAGAGTATAAAGCAGACTGCTCTCCCCAGTGTGGGTGGGCCTCAACCCAACCCACTGAAGTCTAAATAGAAAAAGCTGCTGAGTGCGGGAGAATTCTCTCTGCCTGACTGTCTTCCAGCTGGGACATCGTCTTCTTCTGCCTTCAGACTTGGCGGGAACTCACACCGTCCATTCTCCTGGGTCTCCAGCTTGCCAACCGTAGCTCTTGAGGCTTCTGAGCTTCTATAACCATGTGTGTCAATCCTTTTTAAGAGTCTCTTTAGTCTGGGCCAGGTGGCTTACGCCTGTAATCCCAGCACTTTGGGAGGCCAAGGCAGGGGGATCACCAGAGGTTGGGAGTTCAAGACTAGCTTGACCAACATGAAGAAACCCCGTGCGTCTACTAAAAATACAAAATTAGCTGGGCGTGGTGGTGCATGCCTGTAATCCCAGCTACTCGGGAGGCCGAGGCAGGAGAACTGCTTGAACCCAGGAGGCGGAGGTTGCGCCACTGCACTCCAGCCCGGGCAACAAGAGCGAAACTCCATCTCAAAAAAAAAAAAAAAAATTACTGGAATGAAAGACAAACATGACTAGAGAAAAGAACAACTTCAAAGATACAATAAGAGTGCAATTAATTTATTACTGCTGGGGCACTTTGTGTCAGCCACCACATTAAGCTGCTTCATATATACAACCTTTTTTTTTGAGACAGAGTCTCACTCTGTTGCCCAGGCTGGAGTGTGGTGGCACAATCTCAGCTCACTGTAACCTCTGCCTCCCGGGTTCAAGTGATTCTTCTGCCTCAGCCTCCCGAGTAGCTGGGATTACAGGTGCCCACCACCACACTGGACTAATTTACACACTTTTACTAGAGATAGGGCTTTACCATATTGGCCAGGCTGGTCTCAAACTCCTGGCTTCAAGCTATCTTCCTGCCCCGGTCTCCCAAAGTGCTGGGATTATGGGTGTTAGCCACCGCACCCAGCGCTGAAACAGTTTTTAAGCAGAGTTTTAACGTATGGAAGCAGCACAGTTTGGTGAGAGACGGAAGGAGGGCAATGGACTGGCGCGAAGGGAAAATGGTTCCATGTCCTCGGAAATGCGTTCGGTGATTCTCACAAAGTTCATCAGAATCACCATTCGATCTAGCAATTCCATTTTCAGGTCTATACTCAAAAGAATAAAAAACAAATACTCAAGCAAAAACATGTGCACACATGTTCACAGCAGCGCTATTCACAGGAGGCAAGAGAGAGACACGATCCAAATGTCCAAATGTCCGTCGGCGGCTCAAGCGATGAACAAATCAAAGTTTATGCATACAATGAAGTCTCATTTAGCAGCCGGGCGCGGGGGCTCACGCCTGTCATTCTAGCACTTTGGGATGCCGAGGTGGGCAGATCGCAAGGTCGGGGGTTCGAGACCAGCTAGCCAACATGGGGAAGCCCCATCTCTACTAAAAATACAAAAATTAGGTGTGGTGGTGCGCGCCTGTAGTCCCAGCTACTGGGGAGGCTGAGGCAGGAGAACTGCTTGAGCCTGGGAGGCGGAGGTGGCAGTGAGCTGAGGTCGTACCACTGCACTCCTGCCTGGGTGACAGAGTGAAACTCCATCTCAAAAACAAACGAAAAATAATAATTCTTAATATACTAAACAAACTAAACATGTACTAAAGAACGATGTGAACAGCGACTTTCTCCCACAGCTGCATTTACCAGCGTGTGGAGCCCTGTGCTAAATGCTGGGAACAGAAAGACAGTTGATACACGAGCCTTTCCTTTAAGGAAGCCCCAGTCCCGCACAGAAGACAGACACGAACGTAAACTATTAGTGTGCAGGAAATACAGGCACGATAATCCTGGCACACAGAGGAAATCAGTCAAGATGCGTAGAGTGATGTCTGGGGCACGCACTTACTGCTTTATAAAGTACCAGCGGTTTTTACCATCTAACCGTGCTGTGGGTTAGAGCAATGGAAGAGGAAAGAGGCCGCAGCATCCGAGCTGCTTTGTGAAGAATGAACCAGGTCTCAGCAGCCAGGCCAAGAGTGGGACAGGGGCAGGCAGGGCCAGGACTAGTTTCTCCAGGCTGTAAAACAGGAAGCCTTGGAGGCTGCTAGGGAGGGGGCGGCAGCTGTGGAGGAGGCTGGAGCCCCAGGGACTAACAAATGGGCTTCAATTCAGGACGTCCTGGCCACAAACTATCAGAAATAAGAAATGAGGCCAGGCCGGGTGCGGTGGCTCACGCCTGTAATCCCAGCACTCTGAGAGGCCGAGGAGGGCGGATCATGAGGTCAGGAGATCAAGACCAGACTGGCCACTATGGCAAAACCCCATATCCGCTAAAGATACAACAAATTAGCCAGGTGTGGCAGTGGGCACCTGTAATCCCAGCTCCTTGGAAGGCTGTGGCAGCTATTGCTTGAACCGGGGAGGTGGAGATTGCAGTGAGCCCAGATGGTGCCGCTACACTCCAGCCTGGGTGACAGAGTTAGATGCCGCCTCAAAAAAACAAAAAAGTAGAACCAGTTAAAAGCTCTAGTATGTGTTTAAAGAACAAATTAGTGAAAGAATGTGTAGACAGCCCAGATGCGGTGGCTCACGCCTGTAATCCCAGCACTTAGGGGGCCGAGGAGGGTGGATCACCTGAGGTAGGGAGTTTGAGACCAGACTGGACAACATGGTGAAACCCCATCTCTACTAAAATTACAAAATTAGCCAGGTGTAGTGGCGGGTGCCTGTAATCCCAGCTACTCAGGAGGCTGAGGCAGGAGAATCGCTCGAACCCAGGAAGTGGAGGCTGCAGTGAGCTGAGATTGCACGATTACACTCCAGCCTGGGAGACAAGAGAGAAACTCTGTCTCAAAACAAAAAAAAGAATGAGTAGACAGGGGAGGAGGAGAAAAAAGTGGAAGAAAAACTGGTGTAGGAAAAGGGGTTTTTTTCTTGAGCTGGTGGGGGGAGCCGGTGGGGGGGGAGGCAGTGGGGGTGGGAGGTGGTAGGGAGGGGAGCCAGTGGTGGGGGAGGTGGTTGGGGGCAGGTGGTCGGGAGGTGGGGGGAGAGTCGGGGGGAAGTGGAGGGGAACATCGGGGGAGGTTGGGGGGGAGCCAGTGGGGTGGGGAGCCAGTGGGAGGGGAGCCAGTGAGGAGGGGAGCTGGTGAGGAGGGGAGCCGATAAGGGGGAAGATGGTCGGGAGGGGAGCCAGTGGGGGCGGGGTGGGAAGGGAAGGTGGTAGGGAGGGGAGCCGGTGGGGGCAGAGCCGGTGGTGGGGAGGGGAGCCGGTGGGGAGGGGAGTCAGTCAGGGGAAGCCAGTGGGGGAGGAGTGAGTGGGAGAGGATCAGGGTGGGGGGAAGCTGGTCGGTGGTAGTTGGTTGGGGAAGCTTTTCTGCAGGTGTCTCCTTCTAGCCTCCAGCAGGGCACAGCAACAAAAGGCGGCTCAGAAGAAAAGAACGTGGCTGAGCACATGCATCTGTTTCAAGCCAAAGGCCTCTATAAACTCTCACAGGTATGGAATCCAACCACAATGCCCGCTGTGGTGAAGACACTGCTGGTCCACGAAGAAAGTGACTAAGAAAATGACACGGAGCCCAACTCCTTCTGAAAGCGGAACCTCGCAGTGGTTAAGAATGGAAATTCTACTTCATTCCAAGCAAAGCTTCTCATGTATCAAGTTCAAGCGTGAGGTTTCATTAAAGGAATTTAAAATTTGTGAGATCACAGCAATTTTTTTTTTAAATGATTGTTTTAGTGAAGGGAAAAAAGGCCTTTATCCTCAGTCAGGGCATCGCTCCCAGTCCTGCTCCCTGAAGACAGCTCCCAAACACCCAACTTTCAGCAAATCACGCCCCGGCGCCAGGGGCGGAGAAGTGAGGGAGGTGTCTCCCTGTTTCCTCACGTATAATATAAAAGGATTTAATTAAATAACTTGGATTAACTACCAGGGCTGGGGCTTATGATAAGACCGTGATTAGAGCCACATCAAAGGAGAAAATGTCTTAAGTGCTTCTTGTGGCCTGCTTGAGCCTTTGTCAGTAAACTCCCAAGTCACACTTTTCCTGGGGAGAGAACCGTGGAAATGACCTATTTCCCCAACAGGCCACCATTGCCTGCCATTCACATCTGGTCAAGTTAAAAAAGCCTGTTTGAACCTAGCTCAGCCAGGCCGGGGGAAAATTAAAAATAAGTTTATTTTTCTGATTAAAGCCAAACAATCATACTCAAAATAGAGAGGCCACAGAAAAGCCAGAGTCTTCCAAGTGCCCCTGAGCAGACTGACACACCTGAGGACATCTGCCCGCAGGAAAAGCAGCAGCAGCTGGAGACTGGTCAGTCAAAGTCCTTACACACACGTAGGTGCAGAGCCTGCTTTTAGCCAAAAGAGTCAGTTAACTCCGAAGGACACCTACTTCCAACCCGAAACCAAGTAGAGCAGTTGGTCTGCTAATAAATATCACGGACAGAAATGAAGGCCTCCTCCAAGAATCCCACGGCCTGGGCTGGGGCTCCGAGGGGCTGACCGGCTCTGCGGGCTCAAATCTCTGCCAATGACTTCGTCCCTCTCAACCCACCCATGGCAGGGAGCTGAGGCCTGGCCCAAGGAGTGCACACTCTAAAGAAGCAGAAAGCTTTCCCTACTGCAGGCAGGAGCCAGGGGGTCTGAAGGGCGGCTGATCTGATGGGTGCAGAATGCCTTCCTGGGAAAAGACTGAGAATTGGCCTGAAAGGCGAAAGG